TATGCTTCATTTTTTTTAAATTTTGATTTAAAAGCCTAGTTGTAAGTTTAGCTATTTCATTTCTTGATTTTAATGTATGCTATAGCTAAAAAAGATACTTTACCATGCTATGTAAATGCAAATGCAGGAATGATTACACTCATTTTTTTTAAATTCCATCCAGCAATGATGTATATTTGGCTAGTAAATTTCCAATTTCCCAACTGCTTATCAGATGTTGTTAAAAACCAATGGGTAAATGCTACACATTTTAAAAATGTTGAGCAAATGAGTTCAAAGCCTGCTGATACTTTGTTTGGATCATTCTAAAGCAGGTTATGAAATTTTGTTTTGTGGTTATTAATATAACACTTTACTTTGAAAACTGGTAATTAAAGGGAAATGACCATTTATTTTGTCTTTTCAATAGAAATCTGGTTTTAAGGTAATCAAGGAGCCCCACCTGGATGTGGGAAAGCTCGATTCCCATAAAAGAAAGCCAGCTGATAAATGAAGGATGAATGAAATAATTTTAAAAATATTATACCAAAACCCTGATAAAATTACTGATTCAGGTAAGTATTATCAACTGTTGTTTAAAATACTAGATGCATGATTGATGGGGAACTAAACTTATGAATACATGTAGTTCCAAAATAACACCACACAGAATACTTTTAAGTCGTAAGGAGAAAACCATACACTGAAGGGGTTTGATGGTTAGTACCTAATCCAGTTGTCATTTTAAGCATCATTAATGGTAACTTAGGTTTTATACGTTTTCTGATATGATGCAACATATACTACCCTAATGCACAAACCTATAGACATATAACTTCTAGTTCACAAGAAATCCAGAGAATGGAGAACCAAGTTTTAAAATCCCACATGGGCATGTCAATCCTATTTAAGAAAGCAGAGAAATTCAAAAGGCGGAACATTCTACAAGATAACAGATCTGGTCTCTTCATTAAACTAGTGTTAGCAAAAAGGGACCATATGTGAGAGAAATTAAGGGCACAACCACCACATGCAATATATAGTCCTGGGTTAGATGTTGGTTTGAACATTTTTGATTAGTTGGGGAAATATGAATATCATCTAAGTATAAAGATGATAAAATATGTATTAAATGAAAGAACAAACCACGGACTGAGAAAAGCAGGTGATAAAGGTGTGCTAGTGAACATAAACATATAGTATTACACATACATAAGCACATGTCTGGCTTCTATAAATTTGAAAGCATTTTTTAAAGGAAACTTTCCTAAATTTCTCGAGTACACATATGGGTTTTGTAGGTCATTTTTTTCACAACAAAATGACAAAACAAAGTTTCAAACTTTTATTTTTGAAATATTCTCTTAATCATAAATTTGTTTTGAAAAGAACTTACTTGTCCAGTCAAAATTTCATATTTGAAATGACAGGTTAAGTACCATCACCTCAAAATCTAGCTAGGTTAACAGCCAGTGACTTATCGCAACAGGGCAGCAAACTTACCATTTCTCAAAATGATATGGTTCACTCATCTTTTTGTGAAAGAAAATTTTGGTTATCTTATGTTCTTCAACTCTTTTACAGTGATTGGTACAAAAGATTTTTAGTTTCATGCTAATTTTTTTTACCAAAGAGTCTACCATTTGGAATAGTTGACAAATCCATTTACTGGGCCACATAAAGTGTAATACTTGGAAATACACTGAAGACAATCTAACACTCACACTGCTCTTCTCATACCCACATGGTGCTTGACCATCTGTTTGTAAAGCCTAACCTCTTCTGTTTTTAAGATTTAAGAAAAAATAAATAGAAGTACTAGCACTTTACGCTCACACTTCCTCCATAGATCATATTAGGTCCTTTGAGTACACATGGATGAAGGGAGCATGGTTCCTTTCAGAGACCCAGAGTTTAAAAAGACAGAGATAAAGAGTCAATTCATTTGGAATACTTCCTTCCCAACAGTTCTTCCTCCAGATTTTTTGTTTTCGTTTTAACATTACCACACCAGCCCCCAAGCAAGTCACTAAAAAGCCTTAACTCCAAACTCCTGAACAATTCCAGAAAAAGTTATCGAGGCTGAAGATCACTTTTTACGGCCTTCTCACTCATCTTTACAAGCCTTTAATCAGAGCATTCAATAGACTCCAACCAGATCAAGCCCTCAGTTACTCTGATGTTTCATCTTTTGTGGTATCCATACTATATTTTGATACTCTTTTGCTACTACTAATAAATTTCCTTTTCTTAGAAGTTTTTCTCCTGTTTCCCCACCTAGCATCATGACAGCTCCATGCTCTTACTTTAGCCGGCCAGTCACAGCTGCAAAGACTTTTGCTACAGCCAAGAGCTGTCATCTACCTGTCAAGCTGGCTTCTAGCTGAGCAGAGGAATGAACTCAAGTGGATGTCCAAATTGTTTACCTGGCACTTTCCTAACCAATCAAATCAGTGCTAACCTGAGAGCTAGAAAATCTTGAAAAGATTTCTAAACCTAAAATATATTAAATACAAAAAAATTAACTTGTGCCTGTTGTAAAACAGGAATGACAGGTCCCAAATGGAGTAACTTTTGCTAAGCCCCATCAAGATTTAATACTTAACCTAACTGTAGTTGCAGCCATCCCAGGAATGGAATTTTAAGCCAATCAGTCTGGAATTTCTTCCTCAACACTAGTAAGGTAATCTGCCTCATAAAACCCACTGCCTCCCTCTAAGGGAAGGTGACAGTGCCTGAAATAATCCACTCTTCTAACTTCCTTGTCCCACCATCTTGCTACCTATAAAAATCTTCCATTTTGTACAGCTCATGGGAGCACCTTTCTATTTACTATTACTATTCATATTTCCCCAAATATGAATATCATCTGGGTATAAAGACGATTCATGAATTGTTGAATAAATCTAATTAGATATTTAAATTTCATCAGCTGAATTTTTATTCTTCAACAATGCCAAAATACAACCATAAACAAAGTGAAAAGGCCGACACCAAACTGAGAATACGCCAACAAATTTTCAATAAATATGCCAAAGCATCCCTGTTTTTAACCAGGAGTAAACAACAGCAACAAGATTTAAAAAGAGAGATTTCTTAGTTATAAAATTATCAAGTGGTTTATTTTTGTTTTTAAGACAATCCTTGGTTCCCACCATGCCCACAGCCACCCTCTAAGGGGTTCTTCACACTGAAGGCACCAGGTCTGATTCCTCAAGACCCAACATCTTGGGGACATCTCATATGACCAGAGACTAAGTACTGACCAAAAAGCAGCCTGGTCTATGGCCATGCCACCCTGAACATACCCTATCTCGGATGCTCAGCAGGGTTGAGCCTGGTTAGTACTTGGAGAGGAGACCACTTAGGAAGACCAGGTGCTGTAGGTGTTTAAAAAAAAAAGCAGCCTGGTCAGAGCTTTGCGTGTTCTGCTCAGGAGCACATTCTCCTACATGGAACTGCTACAGCCAGCCAGATTTTCTCCTGGGTGGCATAAAGACTTTTACTGTCTGTCATACTAAGGGCTATTTTTCCAGAGTTCTCTTTAATATGTTATAAACCCCAAGAACTCTGGCTGAGTCTGCTTTTCTGTAAAGCTTTCACGATTTTCTGTAATCATGGGGTTCCTCTCCCCAATGATAGGCCAAGTAGTGCGACCAAATGCCCTAGTTAAAATAGCCAACTCTTCATACTCTTTTTCTTGAGCCTTTGCTTAGGCTCTTTTTTCCCCGTAAGAGTTTCTGCTGCTAAGCACAATAAACAGCAGGAAAGATGGAAAAAACAAAAACACCACAACTGGCTTAAGAAATCAAATTTTAATAGACATAACCTACAATCTGTGTTTCATACATTCAATATGAATTAAAGTTATCTCAGAAACACTTCTCAACTACTTTTGTGAGCACAAATAGGAAAACAAAACCAAAAAAGCTTTAACAAATGCTATATGCCTTAGAAATAGGAAAAAAAATTATTAAATTTTGAGGTGAAATTTTAACTAGTACCACCAACTTTTGGTCTAATCATTGCAAATTCCAGATCATCAAACTATATATCAGAAAAGATCTTAAGGGAGGAAGCAAGTAGCAAGCTGAGGGAAGACTCAGGAACGAGAACAATCTTTTTTTTTTTTTTAATCTAGGAGAGTAACTATTTCAACTATAGTGGGTAAGAGTGGAAGAAACAATCCACTCCCTATTCTTCTCCATTCCATACAACCAAAAAGATGAGGGACAGTGCTCTCTGGAGGAGCTTACTTGAGAAAAAACTATTGCTTAGGTAACTCCTGCAGATGAATGCACTAGGTGCTAGATATTATCTGACTCTAAAAAAAACCAAATATCTTCCATGACAGTTACAAGTAAATGAGATTCATAACTCTTGTACAAATACCGGCTATTCCAAAGCATACTTCCAGTGATCCAAATGGACCAATCACTCAATGTCATATGGAATCTACACAGCATGTTACTCGTTTTCCTATAATATTGATACACCATGTCTTCCTGCTAGATGTTTTCGTGAGAATGAAAATGATCTTAGAATCACACTTTAGTTAGGAAAAAATTGTTTGTATTCGAATTATAAAACACTCTTACTTCAAGTGGTACACTTTAATTTTTTTTTTTAATCAATTATTGGTCCAGACTCCACTTTCACAACTTCACTAAGTGGATCACGAGTTACTAACAACACAGCTTTGGGGGCATTATTTACTAACCTTAACTGACATAACACATAAAGAATTTCACACTAGTGAATTTTTTTTTTCCGGACATTTTTAGAGCAGTTTTATGTTCACAGCAAAATGAGCAGAAGGTACAAAGATCTTCCATATACACACCCCCACACACACATATATACACAGCTGGTCGGTTTTTAAAAAGCAAAACACATTCTCTTTGGAAAGAAATCAAGACATTATCTTAGAAAAGGTAATTTCAAATTTGCAACAGCAAATTTAAAGTACCACTGCTGAACGCATCGTCACTAATACATTAGGAAAGCACTTAAATACTTACCATATAACATCCAACAAGGAAAGCAGCATTTGCTTGTTTTCTCTGATCAGAGCCAGTAAAATGAACAATTTTCTTCCTTATCATTGAAATTGACTGCATGAAGACACACAGCTGTTAGTATTTTCTTTTAAATTTCAAGTTTTCTAAAACTTTATTTTGTGATGAAGATAAATTCCAAATCTCACAATGTATTCATATTAGCAAGACCTTTAAAAATATTAACTTTGATATCCCAAAGTACCATGTCTCTTCCCATAAGACATATTCTTAGATTAGAAGGAATGGACAATGAAAGAAGTAGAAAGAAGATATGAACAGATTTATTCTTAAAGTATAGATTACTTCTGAAAAAACACATAAGAAGTTAGAGAGAGGGGCACTTTTCTTTCATTTTCCTACTGCTTGATTTAAAAAAAAAAAAAATCTATTCCCAAAACCTTTAAATTAAAAGAGTATAGAAATACATGCAAAAATAATTCTTTCTGTTAGAAATCAGGGCAATGAGTAGCGGGGGTGGGGGGGGGCACGGTGAGGGTGGCGCAGAGATATTGTAAGCAGGCTCTCATGTGATACTGCTATTGTCCTGTTTTCGATCTGAAGATCAAGATCATGACCCATGTATACTCGGTTTGTGAAAATTCATTCGGCTGTATACTCATGATCTGTACATGTTTCTGTGAATATATACTTCAATAAGACGTCAAAAATGAAAAGAATATCAGATTAAATACCAGAGGAACACATGCTTAGTTAGCACTTCCTCACCCATGCTTCAATAATGTGAGTAGAGAGATGGGTTCGGGTTTAGGTTCGGAACAGGATATATTCAGTTCAATAATTAAGCTCGCATTCCTTGGTTTCTATGAATCAAGGAAGAATGTGTACATATCTTCCTTTAGTTATTTACATGGAATAAGAGATCCAAGTTGACTTTTAAAAACTAAAACAAACCAAATCAGCTATAGAGCAACACAAGCACAAGATACTTTAATTCAAACTCTCAACACACTTTTATCACTACTAATTGAATAGGCAGTAACAGTTATCATGTTGAGTGATCAACACTCTACAAGTTGTGCTAGTAAATTGTGACAAAACATTAAAAAAAAAAAAAAGGACAAATACATTCTTAGTTGACCCAAAGTGTAAGTCCATAGCTGGCTGAGTACAGTAAAACATTCTTTCAAAATTAAAGCAAAGGAGAGACAAGTAGGGGAAGAGAAAATTATTTTCAGCTTCCTGGCCCTATATAAAACAAAAGATCTGCCACTGACAACTGGAAAAAGGGAGGGGTGGCATAAATAGATAAGAGTATAAATGCTTATATTCCTATTCGAGAGAGAAAAAAGTCCAGAAAGAAGAGTCTCCATCTCTATATAAATCTGTAGTGAATACACATATAATACCGAAATAAAAAGTAATGCTACAACTTCCATTAGCTCATCTGACAGGTGCTTCTAATGTTTATGATATGAAATTTTACATTTTATTCTCAAGGAAAAAAGTCTGCCTTACCCATAACTTTTTAATACAATTTAATTTTTAATTAAAAATAATTTTTATTTCTTCTGTGTAGTAGTAGCTTGGTAAGTAATCGATTGAATAAAGTTGCTTTAAAAAAGGACCCATCTTCAAATATAGTACTTTCCATTTGAGAATCTATAGTGACTTATTTGGAATTGCTAGCAATACATAAACATTTCTTTATTGTGCATGACCAATAATCAAAGTTTGGATGAGGGGGTGTCTCAGATCAAACTAATGAATACACACTTTTGCAATTCTCGATGATACAGCCTTAAAGATACGTTGCTTGCCCTTGCTTCCCCTGCTTAATCGTATGTGTTAACTGTCAAGGTGAAGAGTCACTAGTAGTACAACATCATGGGAGATTCAAAATTGAATGAGAGAAAGTAAGATTAACTAACTTTTCTTCATTAGTTTGCTAGCATACTCTCTCTATCAAAGTGAGGGCAGAAAGAACAATGACTACAGCACAGGAAGTTTCTCTTGTTAGGTTTCAATTGCGTTAGGTCAGCAATAAGAGGTTCACCTTACTAACCAATTTCTACTTTGGCTTTTCAAGTATTTGAGTATCACCAATCCAAACCAGAACCAAATGACCCAAACTTAAACTGTTAAATAAAAACTCTGGAAAAATAACTTATACACTATGCTTTCTTAAAGCAACCATGGGTATGTCCCAAACACCACCATAATGAAAAACATGACATTTCCTTTTTAAAAATAGAGATATGCTTTCCTTACTTTCCCCGTCCCAAGATCGGGCTAATGATGATTAAGTCAATTCTTAAGTAAAAGCGACTTTACCTTTAATTTCTTATTTATCTTGCAACAATATCTGTAAACCATTGCCAGATTGAGGGGTCCAAAATCTGCGTAGAAGCTTTAAAAATGAAAAACAAAAACGTGTATGTATAATATTCTAGATGTTCTGAATATAAATGCCTTTTTGGAGCTACAACATCGAATTAAGACAAGAAAGCATACACCATTTTGTTATCAGTCACAGAACTTAAAGGTACTGCCTTAACTAGAGGAAGAGATATCCCGGTAAGCAACGCCTATTAAACAATATGACAAGTGGTTCAACACCTAAATACAACCTCGAATAACATATGGAAACACCTTATGAATAAAAAAGCTGTTTTTCCACACATTTTTCCACTGGCAAAAACATATCTTAATACATTAGTTTATATCTCATTGTACTGTAAACTATTAGAATTTCAATGTAAATTGTTAAATTTAGAAAAGTTCTTTCATTGTTATTTTTTCTCTAAGGAGCTATTTTATTACTATGGGTTAAAGAAAAAAATCCTGCAATTATCAATCAACAGATCTATAATTTTCCAAGGCTATCCTATTTATAAACATACCTTTAGACTCTTTAAAAAAAGTTATTAACAATCTTTTAAAAAGCAATACTTACTTCTCATATTCAAGTTCATTATCTATGCTGAAATAATGTACATTTGATGAACTCTTTGGTCTGCTGTAGAGAATGGCAAAACAAAGGCGATCTGAAATGGAAAAATTGCAATGTTCCTTCCTTCAGGTTATCAAAAAACATTTCATATATCATGATGCAACTCTTTTCAGATGAAGTCAGATTTTGATTTTTTTCTATGCATGTTTTTGATGGTAAGAGTGCCAACAGATACTTTGAAAATGTTCTGGCTATTTTGGTGATAATAAATAAGCAAATTTTTTTTAAGGAGAAACTGCCTTTAACTGTAAGTTTCAATAAGGATAAGTGACCTTTTATGTAGCAATACGGCTAAATTCCTGGAGGAACCTCTCATCACAAAACTTTAGTTTCCCGGGACTAAGAAATCTGAGTAAATGGCAGCATGCACTTGATAGCTAGCCTTCAACCTAGATGACTGACTACGTATCATTGCTTTTCAAGGCATCATAAAGAGTCACTTCAATAAGAAACTGTATTTTAAGTAGAAAAAGAACGCTTTCAAAATTGCTTCAAAATTAACGTTTACAGCAATAGAACACAAACAACAAAATGGGTTTATCCAACTATTCTTAGGGATCACTACCACTTTTATAATGACTTACAATTAGACAAATTACCATTGCAACAGAAGCAATAAGAGGTTTCTCCATGATGAGTGTCAGATGAACTTGTGTTGCATAAATGCAGTTAGGTTGCTGTGATATTTAGCAAGAATGGTAACCAGTATTAATAATGCTCAGAGGGGCTCCACCCTTCCTCCCCCACCACACCCCCAAAAGAAGTTGCCTAAAAATCCTTGCGAAGCGAAGCCCTCCACAATCGCTATTAGTAGCAATACTAGTAGTGCTAGTAAAATACTCCACTCTTGGCAAAATCAAGTTCAGCCCTCAAAATAGTAAGAAATAAAGGACGCCAACTGGCATCCTTTCCCCAAATGGAAATTTAAGCAATTGTCAGCAATTCAGCTCACGCAATTGCTGTATTTATTTCCTCCTAAACGCAACAAAAATGTCTTGCAACCACAAACACTCAAAAGGGTGACGAGTTTATTCCTTTCCAACCACAAATGACCCTTGATTCCTTTGCATAGTGACCACGATTTTGCTCCCTTGGGTGGAGAAGCGCAACTCGCCTACCAGCTAGGGGATCCCCACTGCATAGGTCTTATTCATGTTCGCCCCAAAGCAAGACCACGCCTGGGGACTAGGAGTCACGGGAAGCCACCAACGCCCATGAGACAGCATCGGCCCTGGCTCCAAAGTTTAAAGGCACCTCCTGGCCAGCAATCGGGGCCTCCTCTAAGCCCAGGAACCATATGATGCCCATTAATACGGCGTGTCCCCCGCAGCGGCCGGGACAAGCCAGCCCTGTACTCTCGGCACTCACCTTTGATCACCTCGGCCATCAGGCAGGTCCCTGTACCCTCCCGACTCATGACTCCAAAGCATCTGAAAGGCTGAGTGGAGGGAACGACTGGACAGTCAGGGAATAATCAGCTGCTGGGAGGAGGCGCCACGACCACACCCCCAAAGTTTAAAAAACAAAGTTTAAAGGGCCACTGCCCAAGCAGTAGGCACGGTGACAACGCTCGGCAAACCCGGGCGAGTCAAACCCGGAAGTCCAAAACTTCTCAACTGGCTCCAAACCGGGCGGCAAGGGCATGGGGCGCGGAAGCTACCCCCAGCCGCCCAGGCTCAGCTTCGCCCCGCCTTGGGGACGCGGGGGACGCCGGGCGGTCGGTCGTCTGTGGCGCCAGGCCCTCCAGCGCCAAAAGTCTGCACTCACAGTCGGGACCTGCAGCAGAGCGCCACAGAGGCAATCGCGGGTCTGGTTAGAGAAAGCGGCTCCGAGAGCCAGTGCAAGGACTTCTCGGAAGGGAAGGGGTAGATGGTGAATATGACCCGGCGACACGGACTCGGGGCGCCTCCCCCAGCTGCCCTGCCCGTCTCCACCAGGGGGTGCTGCAGCCGGGCTGTAGCCGCGCCGCGCGGCGAGGCGCAGTACTGCGGGGCAGCCCCGGGCCTGCCAGGCACCCGACCTGGAGACCCCGGCGGGCTGGAGAGTGTCGGACTCGCCGCGAGTGCTGGCGTCTCATATACAATAGACGTCTTCAAAATGGTTCAGGATTTAAAAGTAAATTCAGCTTAAAACTGTGGTCATTCATTCCTTTAAAGTCCTTCGATTTCTCAGATAAGTATTAGAACGGTTAAAAGACAAAAATTCTGACACCATACTAAGCAACCATTTAAAGGATTTTCTAAATCGATGTTCGACTCAAGTGAAAAAAAATGAAGATACAGTATGAATATGGTCCCAATTTTGTTATATACAATATGGTGCGGAGATCAGGGGTGATTTTCATTCCCTCCTTTAGTTTTCCAGGTTTCCTATAGAAAAGCGTTATTTTAATAATACGTGAAAAATTTGCAATGACTCTCCCTTAAACGGACAAGCAATACAGTAACAACTTTCCCAAGAATTATACTGTATAATCTTAATATACTATACACATTATATATCATATACAATTTTGCCACAGAAGTAAACAGCACGCCTGCTAAATTTTTTATTCTAAAATTCCAGACAAATCAAAGACTTCCAATTTAAAAAAATAAAACCATAAATTCTTTTTAATGTCCAACTGGAGAAGGCCTTTCTAAACGAAACAAAATCTAAACGCCATAAGAGAATCTACAGCTGAATTGATAACCATTTTTGAAAGAGTCTTCATGGTAACAGACATAAAGTCAAGAAGTAAACTGGAAAATATTTTAAATTTATCTCACAAAGATACTCCACTTCCATTTTATGTGACTGCAAAATAACAAAAACGCAAATTTAAACTACAAGGTCCTAGTTTTCCTTCAGACTGACAAAAACCAAAGGAGTTTGAAAGGCACTGTTGGTCAGGTTGTGGGGAAACCGCCACTCACATTGCCTGTGGGTAGGAATATAAACTGAGACAACCTCCATTCACGGTAATTTAAGGCAACAGACACTTTGCCACCCTAAAATATGCCTTTTGGGATAGTGATTTTAAGTAGGTTAGTAAGAAACAAAAGACTCAGAACTTTTGACCCTCCCCCCTCACCTGCTTAAAGGAATTCGGATAGAAAAACCTGCTTAAAGGGAGCAACTTAGCAACTAAACATGACAGTAAGAAATCTAGCAAAGACTGTTTGTTCGACTTCCCTCTGTGTCCCATTGTTTCTGGGTGCTCCAGTAAGAATTCACTTATCACATGTTTGCTCTTCTTTCCACCTACCTGAAAATTGCCTACTCCCTCCCCGACTTTGAAACTCCAGACCCCTACTTCCCTCTTCTTTGTCTAGAATGCCATATAAACCTCAACCGTCCAATGCCTCCTTAGGTCTCCTATTCTTATGGCATCCCCGCATGTGTATCCAAAGAAATCTTGGATACCTAAAATTGTAAGAGCTAAGCTTACAGGACAGAGTATATCGTGTTTTGTGCGTGCTTGCTAAGAATATTTAATAATTACTGTAATAAATTTTTTATCTAAGACTAACTTTCATTATAACCTGGTAGCAAAGATGTGAGAGAGTAGCTGAACCCCATCTACCTGGAGTTTTCTTGAAATTACTGTTATCTATCAGAGTCCTAAGAGCTGTGCAAGACCAAATTGGCTCATGGCAGTTTCCATCAGTGTGATACAAAGAGATGAGATCTGGCATTAACATGGCCTAAATCATTTGGATCATGGTCATTCGAGTCAGGCACTTGCGCCAAAAAGAGAAGTCACAGGGAAGTAAAGCAGTCAACTTCAGCAGCCATTTTTCTAGGATCCTAAGCCAAGAACTTTGATAAATTCTAATTTATCAACCCTAAATATGCATTTCAAGGGAGGGGCAGAGATAAGTAAATGGTCTGTCTCATTTCAAATTTCTTGGCAGTGAGTGAAAAAAAGACTTCATTTAATGAGTATTTTTAATATATAATTGCCTTATCGGAAGCAAATTCTTATTCACAATACTCATTCTTTATCTCCAATGGTATTTAAAGGCCCTCCTAAAAATATTTAGGACATCACAATTCTAGGCCACTAGTTATATAGATAAGTAATTTTTTTCTATAGTGAAACCTGTCATGGAGATTTTTTAAAATTGTCTTGCCAATTTGACTTGTGGTCTTTAAGAAAATGGTGTACAGAAGGATTAGGGGTACATATTAAATTTTTAAAATGGGAACCAGGGCAAAAGATTTGAAGACACTTTATGAAAGAAGTTATAGGAATGGCCTATAAGGTCATGAAAAAGGCATTTAAGTCAGAGAAATGCAAATTAAAACCTCAATGAAATACCACTTCTTGGCCAACAGAATAGAATAGCTAAAATCAGAATGATAACACCAAGTGTTGGAGATGTACAGCAATTAGAACTCTCAAATGTTGCTGATGAGAATGTAAAATGGCATTAAGACACTGGAAAAGTTCAGCAGTTTCTTACAAACATATTTTTCTGATGAGCCAGCCATCCAACTCCTAAGGATGTATGTATATATATCCAGTATATATATCCAAGAGAAAATAAAACCCATGTCTACAATAAGACTTGTACATGAATATTTTTAGCAGCTTTAGAATAGCAAGAAACTGGAAACACAAATTTCCACCAACAGGGAATGAATAAACAGATTGTAGTATATTCATATAATGGAACACTACTAATCAAAAACAAAAAAAAGAATAAAGTGTTGATATACAAAATAAAATGGATGCATCTCTAACACACTATGCTAAGCAAAATAAGACGGACACAAAAGAGAACATGCTATATGATTCTTGATACATAAAGTTCAAGAAATCAACAGTGGTTGATTGGGGTAAGAGGGATAAGGGCCCACAGGGAAGAGTAGTTTACTCGTTAAAATTCAAATTGTACACAAAAATCTGTTTTACTATATACAAGTTGTATTTTACTTGTATATAGTAAAGAGTAGGGTGGGGTGAGGTGGCCAAAAAGAATTTTGACTGGTATAGATCCATGAAAAGACTACAGAATTAATCAAGTAGTTTGTATAGAATTAAGAATTATCTTGACCTAATTGAGTATAGAGACCATGAGTACCAAATTACATTGCAACTTTAAAAAAATGGAAAAAACATACCAGAAAAGACAGTGTAGCTAAATAGTCTTTCAAAGATTCTTGAAATAATAAATATTATTATCCTTCCTCGGTCTGTAAAAAGACTTAAAGAATAATAAAAAGTTCTCTCAGATCCTAAAATCTTCACAAAGGAAAATTCACAGAAATAGGGTTTACCTTTTAATGTAAAGATTATCTGCCATTCATTCTACTCTATCAACCATATTATTTTAAAAGTACTCTGGATTGAGAATAAGGAGAAAACAGTGACTCTGTTGATACCATGTCATATAGCTCCAACTAAGACTTGCTTCAGGTCACACAAATACAGCAGAATAATCTGGAGCTCTTCTTATATCTCTTCTACCTTTATCTCAAAACTATTGATCTGCTAATGATCCAACTCACACTACGTAGAATATAGCTACCCAGTACAACTTTGTGCGATGAGGGAAATGTTCACTATCTGCTAACATGTGGTTAGTGGTTACTATAACAGACAGCATAGACTTAAAAGAAATAGGTCCATCAGTTTCTAATCTATAGCCTCTGATAAGAGACAAAGGCCTCCAACTATCAGAAAGATAAAAGCAAGGAAGCTGTCTGTGCCTTTCCTTCTGCTTTTAAGGCCTTTATTTCCAAGAGTTTTGATCCTAATATCCAACTCTGATTTTCTCAGCTGCTTAAAGAGAATGAGAGCACCTGTGGTCAGAAACACAGCGTACCCATCACAGTGCCTAAGGCTCAAAAGGCGCTTAGTAAAATGTCTGCTTAACAAACAAATGAATAAATAAATGGAGGAAGAGCAGACAAGGCTAGAGGAAAATGAAATTCTCATTTACTGAGTACATCCTAGTCTGGGCACTTTACACATATTATCTCAGTTATTTTTCACTTATTCTTATGATATAGGTTTTATTGTCCTCATGTTACAGATGGGAGAGACAGTGCCAAGAATAAACTTGCACAGGGTCACTCGGCTTGTGATGAGGTAAAACAAAGCTTTGAACAAATATAATCAATGTATCTTGAATCAATTCACATATAGGAGCATATAAACAAGTAATTAAGTAATTGACCTACAGTATTCTTTTTAAAAAAGCCCCATTTCTCATTATTATATCAGTGTAGCTTCAAAGAAATCCTATGGAAAAATAATTACATGGCTCAGATAAGTAACTTCCAAAACTGTGTATTTTATATAATATGGCTTTCAAGATTTAATATTTTAATTATTTTTCAAAAGGAAGGATGGCAGAAAAAAAAACACTTCAATCTGAATCACACAGAGATGTTTTAATTGAGGTTTTCCAGGCTCAATTCCCTTCAAAACTTTGCTTCCTTAGGGAAGCTGTGACACCACAGAAGAAACACTGAGGGATCCAGGAGAGCTGGAAGCAGCACAACTTTGTGGAAATCTAAGAAAAAAGTGGGATGTTCACTGAGAACTCTCTACTAGTCCAGCCACACAGCGTTGGGACATACTACCTTTACTCACATTTTTTCTGACATGACAGATTTTCACAGCAGGTACATTTAGCTCTCCACAGCAGCCCTACATGAAGCAGTTAAGCTCAAGAATTTTAAGAGAAATTTGCTTATACAGTACTTTGATTCTGAGAAGAAAAACCCTCTTGCTACATCTAACAATAATTCTGGGGTAGTCTTCATGCTTTTAAAGTTGAAGTTTTGATTTTTTTTAATGAAAGGTTTTAGGAAAAATCAAACTTCTAAGAACTTTAATGTCAATGCTGAATTGTATTTATTATATA